TTAAAAATTTAATAAACACACTATTAAGTAATTTTTTTTTAAAATTTAATGGGTTAAGGATAGAAAAAGTACAAGATAAGGTAAAAAGCAAAGTGTAGAAAAACGAATGATCTATTGATTCGAGTGAAATGAATTCAGTTTTTTTAAAAATAAAATTTTGATTTTGAATCTTGTGAATGAAAAAACAAGTATTGAGAGAGTTTTTTTCCTTATAAGATCTGACGCGATTTGATTCTAAATTATAATGTGATTATTAAATATCGAGAGGTTAATAAAAAAATGAAGTGTAAAAAATATTTTAAAGATTAACATTATTTTTTTTAAAACATGATTACAATAGGAGGAGGGGGTAAGGGATATGAAAAAGAGAATTTGTGGGACTCGAAATTATAATCTATGAAGATGATCCCACTAACCTAAGGTCAATATCACTAAACCAGAACGTGTGAATCGATTAATATTATTTAAAATTAGAAGTTAAGAAATTAAGTTTGATATTTAACTTTATAAAGATAATAACATTATGTTTTACATCATAAACATGACAAACATGTACAATGGACAGAATTTAAAAACCATTAAAAAATAAAAACATTCTAAAAAGCAAAAGGTACCACAAAGCGCGTGGCCCAAGATGTCTACAACACCATTGGCTTACCTAAAACAAACAACGGTGGGGGACTGGAACATGGACGGAGTCACAAATGTATCTTAGGTTTTTTTTTTTTTTGAACATATTTGTAAGGGGCGGGTTTCGAATCCAGTCCGGAGAGGGAGAAATGCACTGGGGTGGCTATTGCCATTAAGCCGCAAGGGCTAGGTGTCACAAATGTATCTTAGGTTGGTAAAATTTTAAATATTTTTTTGAATAATTTATTAATTTATGTGATATAAATATTTATAGTAATAATTTTTAATTAAATTAATTAAAAAAATTAGAACATCAAGTAATTTAAAATTTATTCAATAACGCTCATCGATATTGAGAAATAAAGTAGTGAGAGAAATTTTATAGTATTTATTAAAATTTTAGTAATATATATGATTAATATTAATGACAATTTAATATTTTAGTTATTACATAAAAAGCATATTATGGATATAGTACAAAATTTTTATATATTTATGATAAATTTAATTTGAACATTTTATCTATTAAAGATTTGAAAATAAATTTTCACTAAATAAAAATTAAAAATTTAATAAATGCACTATTAAGTTATTTTTAAAAAAGTACATCATGAGGTGCAAAAAATATTTTAAAGATTAAAATTATTTAAAATTAAAAATTAAGAAATTAAGTTCGGTATTTAATAATAATAAAATTATGTTTTGCATCAGAAACATGACAAAACATGTAAAATGAACAGAATTTAAAAACCATTAAAAAATAAAAACATTCAAAAAGCAAGAGGTACTACAAAGCGCGTGGGCCAAGTTGTCTACTACACCATTGGCTTACCTAAAACAAACGGCGGTGGGGGACTGGAACATGGACGGAGTTACAAATTTATGTTCGGTTTGTAAAATTTTAAAATTTTTTTCGAATAATTTATTACTTTATTTGATATAAATAATTTATACTACTAATTTTTAAATTAGTCATCAATTTTATGTATATAGTACTTATATCATTTTGCATTAATTTTTTTATTTTAGTTGTATAATAGAGACAATCGCATTTTATCCTTTACTTCACATCATTCATTTGTCATAAAATTTAAATTCAAGATTTCTTATCTTTAATAGAAAGAAATTACTAATGAATTATTTAAGTCATTGGCCATTCGCATCAAATTTTAAATTAACTAAATATATTTAATTATTTTTGAATGTCATATAATTTTATACTCTTAAATAAATAGTGTAAATAATATAGTTTATTTTTTATAGGGTTATATATATCAAATTAATTTTAAATATAAAACATATAATTTAGATGAATAGAATAGATTTAACTATTCGTTTAATAAAATATAAATTGTACAATAAAAATTATATATAATTAATATAAAAATTTATATAACTTATATCAATATAACTAAATTTTGACTTTTTTTTTTCATATTTTTTCTTACATATGTATAATTATCATATCTTTATAAGAATTACTCACAAAGAGAAAATTGATCCCTTTACCTAAGTTTTAAATATTTTCTTTATATTTGAATGATCCCTATAATTCAAACTTCAAGATTAAAATTAAAAAAAAAAAAAAAACAACATAGGTACTAAATTTGATATTTTTCAAAAGTTTAAGGGTCAGCTACCTCCCTTGTCTTATGCTGGTTTCATCTTCGACTATATTTGATATTTTTCAAAAGTTTAGGGAATATTTCTCAAAAGTTTAGAAGGCAGCTGCTCCCCTTCTTTGATGTTCCCTTTGTCTTCGACTAGATTTGACATTTTTGGAAAGTTTAGGGGGAGTGCTCCCTCCTTATCCTATGCTTTATGGCTCCATTTTAGGACTAGAATTTAATTGATGTTGATCAGTATAAGTATGGAAGAGTGGAAGACTAATATCAACTACAAAGCAAAGCTAGCTTAAGTCTAGAAGGCATAGTTGATCGCAGCAAAATGAACAATCCACATGTTTTGGTCATACCTTATCCAGTTCAAGGCCATGTGAGGCCTCTCTTGGAGTTCTCACAACTGTTGGTCAAGCATGGCATCAAAATCACTTTCGTGAACACTGAATTTTCACATCAACGAATCATGAATGCATTTGGAAGCAAGGTAAGTGTAGATGGTTCAATTCACTTTGTCTCACTTCCAGATGGGATGGGTGTGGATGAGAACAAGAATCACATAGGGAGATCAATTGAATCTATCTGCCAATTTATGCCCATGGAGTTGAAGCAACTTATAAATGAGATAAATAGACCAAATGGTGATGAAGTTACGTGCATACTAACTGACATGTTCATGGGGTGGTCGTTAGAAATAGCAGCGGAGTTGGGAATAAAGGCAGCGGCTCTATTCCCTGCATCAGCATTATCTTTAGCCTCAATGTTTGCCATCCCAACTATGATTGATGGTGGAGTTATTGATGAAAACGGTGAGTTTTTAGGAATCTTAAAGCATATTTTTCAACATTTCCTTAAATAATTTCTAAAATTTAATTTGCAGGTACCCCACTTAAGCATGAGATGATTCAATTGTCCTCAGAAACTCCTGCCATTAACCCATCACATTTTTCGTGGGTATCCATCGAGGGCTTCACAACCCAAAAGATTTTATTTAACTTCTTCCAGAGGAACATCAAAGCTGTAGAGAAAATAGAGTGGTTGCTCTCCAATTCCACATATGAACTAGAGGCTGGAGCATTAGCCACCATGGCCCCAAAAGTCCTACCCATTGGCCCGCTTTCGACATATGAGGGAGTCGGAACTTTGGTTGCAAATTTCTGGCCGGAGGATAGTTCTTGTTTGAAATGGCTTGACAAACAACCACCACGCTCAGTCATATATGTTGCATTCGGTAGTTTCACGATTCTTGATCAGACACAGTTCTGGGAATTGGCATTAGGACTTCAACACTCCAACAAACCATTCTTATGGGTTGTGAGACCAGATATAACGGAGGCAAAAGATGAAGCATACCCAAAAGGGTTTCGGGCTAGCGTGGCAGATCGTGGTCAAATGGTGGGTTGGGCACCACAACGAGCAGTTTTGAGTCATCCTTCCATTGCTTGCTTCTTAAGCCATTGTGGTTGGAATTCAACCTTAGAAGGCGTAAGCAATGGAGTCCCCTTCCTTTGCTGGCCTTACTTCGCTGATCAATTCATGAACGAGAGTTACATTTGTGAGATTTGGAAGGTGGGATTAAAATTGGAGAAAGATGAAAGTGGGATCATCGGACAAGAAGAGATCAAGAGCAAGATGGAGAAACTATTAAGCGATGAAAATCTAAAAGCAAGGGCTATGGAACTGAAGGAAAAAATTAGGACTAGTGTCAAGGAAGGTGGCTACTCTAACAAGATTCTCAAGAGTTTCATTGAATGGGTGAAGTCTTAGGCAAAGTTACTAGTATTTTGATTTCCTCTGTTAAGGAATAAGCAGATTCATTTGCATTAGCTTGTGATTGATCCAATAATATCTTTAATTATGATTTAATTATAGTACTAATGAATAGATTATATTTAGGATATTTCAATATAATTGATTTATTTTTATATTTGTTTACCTTAAAGTCTATATAAAGACTATTACATATAACTCTCTAAATAAATCTAAATTATAATAAAATGCTTTTCTTATGCTTTAAACCTTAATGTATATCCTCATACCGAGAGGACTGCATCTTTTTTGCTGCACAATGGCTTTGATGGAAAGATAGGAACACATACATCTTTGAGAATTCAAGGACAGCTCCTCAAGTTCTATGTCTACAGATGGTTCAATATCCCCGATACACTTCTTTGGCTCAGAACATTGTGATTACAGGCAATGCAAGGAACTAAGGGAAGTTAGATGGATCAGGTGGCATCCCCCTGATGGTGGAATCTTCAAGCTAAATACGAATAGATATCTATCCTATTTACTTCTAGAATGACTAGTGGTGACGGTTTAATGAGAAAAATTCAGAAGGTAGGTGGGTGTTCATGGGTTCTTGGTGAGCATAGGTCGAGCCACAAGCTTTATAGCTGAGTTATGGGGCTTAAAGGAGGGCCTTCGACTCTGTTGCTCGCTGGGCATATCAAGGCTAGTGCTAGAAATGGACCCTTTTATTGCTGTTAATCTCATTTTTGAGGAAAAAGAACCATCTGGAGTGCTTGCAGCTCTAGTTTTGGATATCAAAGCTCTTATGGGCAAGTTCTCCTCGTGTTTTGAGACACCCTCCGAGGAGGTAACATTGCTGTTGACCTTCTTGCCTCTCTTGGTCACCATACTGCTTGCAGCATCATATCATCCCAGCCATTAATACATGATGACAGAGCTTCCCGTTGCCAAAAAGCATCCTCTTCAATGTATGAATAAACATCAGAATAAATTTAAAAATAGTTTTTGGCAATTTGGCTTCGATTAGACTTCATCTCTGAAATGGGTGAGATCTAGCAGGAACCCACACATTTAAGGGCTAACACATTGCATTTTAGTGTAAATTTGACTGCAAAATATTATTCCTTTATTTTTGCAAATTTTTATTTTTTTTTAATTTTTCCAACTTATATTCTAATATTATATCTTAAAAAGGTAATAAATATATTTTTTATAATTAATTTTACTTTTTATATAAATTAATTATAAAAAAATACAATAAATAAAAAAACTTAACCCTTTTTCCATTTAAAATCGTAAAAATATAACAAAATTACAATTTTACCATCGTTTGGAATTACCATCGTACACTCATTTTCTTCATTTGTTCTTTGCCCTTTTTCCCTATTCATCTTCTTCCCATCTCTGGTTCCTTTCTTCCTTCCTTTTCCACTGCATATCATCCTCGCTTCCTTCGTCCTCTTCTTCTTTTTCCTCTTATAGCCCATCACCTTTGCATCTCTGGTAAGGATTCAGTCGCATCTTTCTCCTCCCTCTACATTTCTTCCCCCTCCTTCCTCTCCATGTGAACAAAGGTTTTGGGTTCGATGGAACCCATATGTAGATTCCATCAAACCCAAATTGTTAGGTTTCATGAAACCTAGTTCTGGGTTTACCCAGATTTATAGATTTTTTTTTGCTAGCAACAGCCAATGATCTATAAATGTATTTTTATAATGGAATTTTGTTTCAAATATTCTAGTTGTGGAATGGAAATTTAACGTTATGAATTGAGTGGAGGGTTCGCCTAGATCTATAGATTTTTTAATTTTTATTATGGGAAAACTTAATTTTAACAAGGTGGTTAGGATGAGGCGAATGGAGAGGAGGGTTGGAAGCAAAACTTTTTATTTGATTATAAAAGAATTGAAACAGATGGAAGGAAAAAATTTTATTTTATTTTATTTTTTATTTAATTATTTAACTAAATAAAGAGAAGAGAGGGAAGAATGGGGAAATGTAAGAACATAATTTTTTTTCCTTCTTTTACGTTCCGTTTATTCTTTTTAATCTAAATATAGAGGAAGTGAACTCTCACCCCCTTTTTCTCTCCCTTCTCTCTTATTTCTGCTTTCTTCTCCGGCGCGGTGTTTGTTTTGATCAGAAGCCTTTGAGCTTCCGAGGTTTTGATGCTTGAGTCGCTGGGCTTCCCAGCCACTCAAGCATGCTGGAGCCGGCATGTGCTCCCTCCTCCAATGACCCTTCGGGGTTTTCGGTATCCTCCGATGACCTTTCGGGGTCTGTCGGTTTCTGGGTCCCTTTCCGGTGATCCTTTTGGTTTTTTTTTTTTTTTTTCCGTTTTCTTGTTGTTTTGTTTTACTTTGTTTCTTGTATAGTTTCTTGGTTTCAGATCTGGCAACCCTCAGCTTTCCTGTAGATATTGGGAGGTGCTCGCTGTTTTTCCAGTTCTGGCCACCGTCGGACTGGATCTCTGCCGCAGCGTCCTGGAGATCTTGCGCCATCCTCTCCGGAGTAGTTTGAAGGGTGTCCCATGGCTGAATCGGTCGACCTCAGGTTGCTCGAGTGATTTCACCTCTCTTCCTCCCATGCATCGGGCCTGCTCTGCTTTACTTCTCCAGTTGCTCTTTTCTGTGTTTGTTACCCTTATCCAAAAGGATAAGGATTTGTTGTAGATGCCGTATGGCAGTTTCTTAATGCAGTGCTAATACCTTTTTCTCAAAAAAAAAATATAGAGTAAGTCTTGTATAAATAAAAATATTTTAATTAAATATATTATAAGTATATTAAAAAATTTAAAATATTTGTACTATTTTTAATAATTATTAAAAGATTATATTATATTATAACTATTTCAATTTTTTTAATAAAATCAACAATTAATATGGGTGATAAATAAAAAATATAATTATTTAACTAAAATATTTCATTTATTCTTAATTTTTTTATTTTAATTGTACAATAAAAAACAATTATTTTTCATCATTTATCTTGCTCTACCTACAAATTATGTGATTCAAATTTAGAATTTATTAGTTTCAGTTAAAAAAAATTACCATTGAATTATTGATATCGTTAGTTACTTATACTCATTTCTTAATTAAAGAAAATAAAGAAAAAAGTAGATTATTTAAAATTTCTTAATTTGTAAAAAAGTAAAAGTGAATTATTTTTAAAATGAGAGAGTAATTAAGAGGACTCATTTGGTTATCTAAGTATCTTAATCTTTAATCATTAATTGAATCACTTTAAATAAATTTTTAATTGGACTAATCTAAAAATAATTGAAACATCAAGTAGTTTAAAATTTATTGAATTATGCCCATGGATGGTTATAGCTTTTAAATAAGGTAATTGAAGAGAAATTTTATTGTATATTTTAAAATTTTAATAATTATATATAATTAATATTAATAACAATTTAATATTTTAATTATTATACAAAAAAAATTTGGGATATAATACAAAATTTTAATATACTTGTGATAAATTTAATTAGAATATTTTTATTTATTAAAGACACGAAAATAAATTTTCACCAAACAAAAATTAAAAATTTAATAAAAGCACTATTAAGTAAAATTTTTCTAAATTTAATGAATTAAGGATAGAAAATGTATATTATGAGGCATAAAAACAAAGTGCAAAAAATATTTTAGAGATCAAAATTGTTTAAAATTAAAAGTTAAGAAATTAAGTTTGATATTTACCTTTATAAAGATAATAACATTATGTTTTACGTCATAAACATCACAGCCATTATGGTTTCTAAGACCCTACAAATACCTATTGAAGTTCAGAATTTAGAGCGCTGGAGAGGCTGTTCCTAGATTT